ATATATATATATACATATGGATTACATGTGTTAACAGAGAAAAAAAGAAGAAGCTGAGAGGCGCGCAGATCTTTGCCCATTTGCATCAGGAGGTGCGAGGAGAAGGAAGGCATCCAAATTGAGAATTGCAGAATACATTTGCTACCAAAAAAAAAAAAAAAAGAAGAGGCTAGTTGAGAGGCGCGCAGATTTGAAGACATTGCAACAGGTCGTGCGAGGAGAAGGAAGCTAGGCTTGCGAGAGGAGAAGGAAGCTAAGCATGCAGGAAGAGAATTACGGAATACAAGTGGTAACAAAAAAAAAAAAAGAAGAAGAAGAAAAGAAAAGAGGCTGAGAGGCACGCAGAGCATAGGAAGTTGCAACACGCCATGCTAGGAAGGAAGCCATGCAGGAGGAGAATTGCAGAATTCATGGAGATGGTGAGGTATATAAAGAACTTTCAACAACATAACCCCTATTGCTAAAAGTTTACCTCCCTATCAGCATCTTAGATTATGTTGCTAAAACTCATTTGAATTTGAATCTCACTCCTCATCACTAACGTGTATTATGTTGCTAAAATTTGAAATTAGAATCACTCCCGCCTCACCACAAAATGATTAAAATTATTATATTTTAAGTAATTCTTAATTTTAAAAAAATTCATTTTTATAAGTAAAATTTAATTTATTAATTGGTTTTATTTCATCTATTAAATTTTATTTAATACATGGCAAATTAATTAATATATTTACATTAGTTATTACATATTTAGATAATTTTAATAAAAATTAATGTAATTATATATATGTATGAGAATTTCATGATAAAAATAAAGAAATATATGATATAACTTATGGATAAACAATTAGTGACATATGGAGGATTTTTGCAAAATCGATTGAAAAACAAGGCTGAGAAATAGAGGAGAGGCATCATGTAATATCCCAAATTTTTGGGAATATTTAAGTGTAAGTTAAGGACTTGATTGTGGGAAAAGATTGTTTTGGGGCCTAATGTGAATATTCTGAAAGTCAAGGGGCTTAAAAGAGTAGAATTTGGATAAGGATGGCTTATTTCTTTTCTCCCTTTTCCTCTTTCTTCTCCAGCCCGTTTCTGCTCTTGTCTTCCCGCTGCAACCCGAGAGGAAAAAAAAGAAAAGAAACCCAGCCATGCCTTGAGGAAACCGGTAGAAAGCTTGGTTTTTGGCCTTCTTTTCTTGCTCTAGAACCTGATTGGAACCCAGAAATTCTCCCCTGGCAGGAAGCTTTCGGATCTGCCTTGCTCTGCTCCTCACCGTCTGGCTGCTCCTGCTTTGTGGGTGTGATTTGTTCGGTTTTTTGGTAAGAAATAGCCATGAATCTCCCTTCTTCAGCTTTAATTGCCTTGGGTTTAAGTTAAATGCTCTTACTTCCTTCAATTTTTGGGTAAACCCGTGAACTTTCCCTGCAGCTTGCCGCCAGCCTCTTCCCCCCTGCAGCTCCGATTTTAGCTGGAGAATTCTGGTATGTGACAGCCTTTTAAGGCTTAAATTATCCATTTAAAGTTGCTGCTTGTGATGTCCGAATTTGACTAGGAAATGGGGAAATTCCGGTAGCAATTAAGAGGGATTTAAGTGTGTTTTGTTGCTTAATTCAAGTGAGATTTATGTGATTGAGTGTTAGTTAGTTGTTGTGATTCTGGAGAAAATCCCGTGAGATTAGCTAGTGTTTTGGCCAATTTGTGGAAGTGGAGTTACTGTTCACGTCGGGGTACTGTTCACGGGTACTGTTCACCAGTTACTGTTCACACCCCGAGGGCCAACAATTAACGGGAATTTAAATGATTAGTTTGTGATATAAGAACGAATTTGGAGATATTTGATCATGTGGAGATTTATGGAAATAGCTTTGTGATTAGGAATGATCCTAATAAAGTGTTCAGTGTGAATTTGTGATAGTGGTATTAATTCTTGAAATATTTTGATTAGGTTCTTGATCGTTCTGTCAGTTAGTGCGTGAATTGAGTACTCGGTTTTGCGGAGTGAGGTAAGTAAATTTATGGTAATGCCCGTACTGTTTTAAAAGCATGTTTTGATTTGTTTTTGAAGTGCTGGCGGGACTAAACCCGTTTTACACGAGCATGACTGATTTGAAGTGAAATGTTTTATGCTTTTCATGAAATTGAGCATGCCTACTTGAAATTTAAGTGACCGTCCTGATGATCTAGAAGTGATTGTGATTTTCCTGTTAACTTCTGCCTGTTTTGTCTCCGATGTGGTCATGTTATTCGTGACCCCGCTAGTGGGGGAGGTTACAAACGCTAGCACATGTCGACATGTTTGTGATAGGACCGGTTCGCTCGTGGCCCTACTAGTGGGGATTATACACTAGTATTCCTGTTTGCCTGCTGGTGGGAACTGGCCATGAGCTATAGAGGAGACGTCTATTTCGTGCCCGTACTGTATCCGTTTTTCGTGATTGCACTTGTTGGCATGCTATAAGTTTAATTAAGGGCAATCCATATTTTACTTACTGAGTTATCTCACCTC